GGTTTTGCTGCAACTTGAATAGATCTCATTCTAAATAATAACTTTCAGCTGCAAATGTGCTGGAAATAACTGCTATGAAAAAATTGCATGAAAGAGCAGAGCTAAAATATCTGTGATTTAGAAATTACCACCATCATCATTTTACAGGGCACAGGGCTTTTAAGAGCTGTTCACATTTGTTCACAGTCATACTCTGGTATACCAAGATGATTGGGAGGTTGCCCTGATTACTCCAGAGTGTCCTATCTCTAGCAGTGATCATACATGGCATACCCTTAAGCCAAGAGCAATGAAACAAAACAACAGATGTCCTGTACACAGATGGAGAAAAACTCCTAGTAGATGGAATCGGGCCTTGGTATGTTCCTATAGCCAGGTATATTTAGGGGCAGCAAAGAAACAACACCTCACTGTTTCTATTCAATCTTCCCTCTGCCAACAAGCAGAGCTTTTTAGGGTCATTTGGAGCTTATTACACATTGGCCTCAAGGATATCTTAGACTCATCTGATAACAATTATTATGTATTTGCTAGGTGCATACAGGATCTCTTGCATCTGCCACAACAGAGACTCTGAAGTTATAGTAGCTGAATTAGGTGAGAAACCAGAACACAGCCTGGCTAAATTTTATTGGATGAGTTCCAGCTGGTACAGCTTGAGGATGTTGACAGTGTGCTTGGACAGGTTTGTGTAACAACATCTGTACTGGATCCTTGCCCTTATCTTTTAAAAGCTAGCTGAAAAGGAATAGTTGGCTGGGCCAGGGAAATAATCAAGGTCTCTTTGCAAGAGTGAAGGGTATACTATGAAAAACAGGCCATGGTGATGCAGCTCCTAAGAAATCCTCTAGACCTGATAGCTCTTAACAACTGTAGAGTGGTGGCAAATATATCTTTTTTTGGCAAGGTCCTAGAGTGGGCTGTGGCCAACCAGCTGTAGGTGCTTTTCTCTCCCATGCCTTTTAACATCTACCTAAAACCACAGAGTAGAGCCATCTGGAGTTTTAGTGTTTGTTGCCACCAGTACTCTGATGACACAAAGCTGTTTTTCTTTTCATCTCTATCCAGTGAGGTGATGGATCAGCTATACCTGTGCCCAGCTGCCACTGAGAACTAGGTAAGGGCTAAAAAACTGAAGTACAATCCAAATAAGACTGAGATACTATTAGAAGGTGGTTTCTCTGAAGGGAGCATGTTTAACATGTCTTATATGGAGCTGCATCCCCCTTGAAGGAACAGGTTTATTGCTTGAAGTTGTCCCCAAGCTATCTGTCACTTGAGGCTCAAGTTGCCTCAGTGGCAATGAGTGCCTTTTACCAGTTCCGGCTGGTGGCCCAGCTGTACCTGTATCTCTCACAGACCTCAAATAAAGCTTTTCAGACTAAACAATACCAAACATAGGGTGCTGTTTCCATATAATATAAATAAAATAAACCTTGCTGCAGGAAGGACAGTCTTGTTTCTATATCCCTCATTTAAAAAAAAAAATCAGCTGAGTCTGTTTTGGAGAAGGAGAACACACAGCCTGCAAATAACTTTTTTCTTTTTAAGGGAAAAGTCCATTAAACAATGGATAGGATTGCTTATACTCCCTACCTAAAGGAAAAAAGCTTAGGAAAGGTGTTCTTGTTTTATTATAGCAATGTTTCACAGCTTTATGGACTTTATTCTCCTGTTTAATAAATAAAAAAGGAGGACTGTCTAGGCAGTGTGCTCCCCCTTTCCAACAGAGCAACATAGATCTCCCCTTATTGTTTTAAAAGCAAGGCTGTCCTCCCTACAGCAAGGTTATTCCCACCCATTTCCATTACATGAAGAAAGGATCTTATGCTGTCAATGTTGGATTGGTGTTAGTGCAAATATACCAGAGTGAGAAGCAATCTGTATGTTATCACCTAGAAGAGCCTCAAGACAAAGCAAGCAAAAACAAGACTACACTCCTATGGACACTTTCTTGAGAGTTGCCCTCAAGGAAGGCAGAGAAGCTTATGTGTAAATGTACATCAGATCAGACTCAACATTGATTTCATCCCATTACCTTCAGCAAGATTAAATTGGACTACATTCCAGCCACACTGTATGAGTCAGACCGTATGAAACAGACTAATGCACATTACTTAAATAAAAAGTTAATTCTATTGAAACCCATCAAGCTTATTTCCAAGGAAATGCAATGATAACTCTGTGTAGGGTAGGTTTTTCCTTTGGGCTGATAGTCTTAAAAAACTTGTATGCCCCTTACAGACCCAAATGAACAATTTAAATATTTTAAGCTAGTTGTAGTAGTACAGATATAATAGGCAATAGTACAGATATAATAGTACAGATATAATACAATGGCTCACTAGTGGGGAACTGCCAAGGTTCCCCATCGGGGCCACAGAGTCTTGGGTTCCTTCTGTGGGCCCTGCCCACTCCCCTCCCCAAGTCCTGCCTGCTGGTCTGATGGCTTCTAGGGACTTAGGAAGGAGGGAATGAGATGGTGTTAGCTCTGATCACAGATTCCCGAATGATGTTCCCTCTCCCAATTTGAAAATGGGAGCAGCGCACAAGTGACTCTCCTTGTTATTTCAGATCACAGGTCAGAGATAACAAGTGTATTCCCCTCAATATTTGCCTGGCTTGTGTCATCCCCAGTGGGAGGAGGAGTGGAGTGGGCAAAGCTGGGAACTCAGCCAGTGTTGAAAGGATGAGCAGTACAGAGAAAGACAATATGGATGAGGGTGAGCAATAATATCAGTAGCCCATGCACATCATCTGGTCAGAGAAGACCCAGACCCATCTCTAGGTTGAAAAGTTGTTATTTGGGGGCATGAACAGCACTCACACCACTACTGCTTAGATATGTCATTGGGCCATTGGGAATCAAGAGTAGAGGGAAGTAGGCATACTTTGGAAACACCTTCTAACATGCACAAACGCCCCAAATCTTAAACTTTACAAGTGTTCAATCTGAATTTTTGTAAAATCTGGATTCCTTTCAAAGCAAGCAGTTGCAAAACTGGACACAATTAATTAAGTGAATTTTGTATAAAGGCTGTCCATTAGCATATGCTCTCTGGGCAGCCATTCGAATAAAATATCAATAATGACAATAATAAAGTAATACAATTAAAATATTATAATAAAGATACAAAGTAAAACATAATAAATAAACAAAATGTTAAAATTAATAAATTAATATTAAAATTAAAACCAGTGCTGTCTATATAAATAGTTTAAGTAGTGCCAAAGGTACATCAAGAAAGGAATGTTTTCATCAGGCACCTAGAATTCAGTAAAGTAGGTACTTGATGAATCTCTGATGGCAATCTGTAATGGAATCTCTTACACTTGGGGTGCTACCACAGAAAAGGCCCTCCTTTTATTTTACATTTTTAAATATTCTCCATATAACATTGCAGTTTAAAAAGGTAAATAAGTCAGATAAAAACTACATGTCACAGGATGGAAAATCTGCTCACTAGGAATATTAACTCCCATGTATGTATTTCTCTAGCTACTGTAGGTATAGCCCCTACCCAGGGCCACTGAATATGCAGCTGGAACTAGAAAGCAGAGCCTTGCAAACTCCTCATGCACTGAACAATGCACAGGGGTTTTGGTGATGTCCTCTGCTGTTTCTAGACTTGTACATCCTTCTAACACACATTCATCTCTATAAACTCCTGACACACTCAGCCCAGTATCCACAAAAAAATCTAACTTGAAAAGTCTTGTGTTTATTACTATCACTGTGTCTGAAATTGATAAATACGTAACATATTGCAAAGAGACCACAGAGTGCGCTGAAGGAGGAACTGACTCTGTGTGTTGCCTGAATCCCTGGAGGTGAGGCAGCATGTCAGAGGGAAGATGAGCAGAATAAACTATGTTAACACCATTAATCACAGAGGCTAAAACAACATCTGTAGAATAAAAATAAATAAATAGAAAACAGATAGCTTTCATTACTAGAAAGTGGAATTAGGACATGGAAGATGTCACTGACTACAAAAACTGCTTCCTTAAGGTCATCAGGATGCTATCTAGAAAGCACTAAAAACAACAATACCATTATTAAACTGATTTTAGTGTGAACAAAAACTATAACCTACTTACCTGAAAGGCTGTACAGGGATCAAGAGCTGAAGACAGAGTCAAATCTCTCATTTCTAGACATTGCATTATATATTGTATAGCTGGGGTCTCTAATATGGGATCCTATAGGCAGCAAAGTGACTGGGGACATCACTCTTGGTCACCACAGGCTCCCTGCCCTACCTGATTTTTATTTTCTCTCTTAAGCTCTATGTGTGTATTTCAACTGGGAGTCTCACATGCTGCAAAGTGAAGTGCTGCCCTCCAGCACCATTATTATTTGGGTTCAAAAGAATGGTTCCAGAACTGTCTTGTACTTAGGGTTAGTTCCACTGTTTTGTATTCTGGAAAATGAATGTTTTCTGACCAGTTGTGCCCACTATGGCAGCCATATGGATGAGGCAACAGTTCACAGCAGCCATTTTGTGAGAGCAGCCATGACTCAACATTCCAAATGTGTTCGCTGATCCAGAAAGGTTTGGGGCCCCATCATATCCTTTTCTAAAAATGCCATGTAGGACTGGACACTGAACACTTAATTGTTGTAGGGTTAATTGTAGGGTGGAGTTCTCTGGTGTGGGTCTGGTTGAAGTAGCAGAATGACCCCTATACAGTGCTATATATGCTATGCTATACTGTTAGAATGATTAAGGGGCAAAAACAGAGGAAAAAGTCACATGTAAGCCTTGAATTAATTAAGTAGGTTAGGTGCATTTAGCACACACCTACATGACTCTTTCACTCCTAGCTGTCCTGTGTGGTGTTCAGGAACAAAGGACTTACCAGACACGCTGATAGGATGATGTCAGTACAAATGCAAAACACAAACTGCACATGTATGAAAGTCATGATAGTAGAATTCTCTTGCATTCATCACAGATTATGCCAGCCTAAATATATAGTTGTTTTTAATCCCTTACCAGCTCATTACTTCCATCTTCATCAAAATCCTCTTCTATTCCATCAGTCATCTCCTCTCCATCTCCATCGAGCCCACCTTCAATAGGCTCTTCTGTAGAGTTGTCAGCATTCTCTGATATGCATTCTTCTTGCATCAACTCTGCACTGTCCTCTATTTGTTTCTTTTGGGCTTCTGTAAGAAAGAAAGAAAAAAGGATGTGAATAAAGAAGACCTCTTTTCAGGAAATGGAATGGTGTTCTAGACATTAGAACACATTCTTCTGTCCTCCATCTAGTTCTAGCTATCTTATTCAGGATGGAAGCCACAATCCATAGATACGTTTTTTTGGCATGCTGGAAGTCTTTTGCATGCCTACATCTTGTTTCCTTGAGACAGCAGGTCCTCTTCAAAACTTTGCAAGATCCGTTATACCAGGGCAGTCCATTGTTCCATGGCTGATCTTGAGACCATAAAAATGGTCAAAGTATATATTACATCTAAAGCACAGTCATCTGAGTGGGATGGTGTAAATTGCAACAGCAGGGTGTTGGATCTGATGGCCTTCATGGCTCCTTCCAACTCTATTATTCTATGAGTCTATGTAACTTCATCTATTTTTACTTTACCCAGTTACAGCTGCGGGGGTGGGGGGATCATTACTGGAACACATCACATAGCAAGGGGAAGCTTTTCTCTTCCCTCTCAGCATGGTTAGAACTGAAATTGCCCTCTGCCCTGTGGGCATCAATGAGAACATTTTTTCCAAGTGTTCATGCAGGATGGGGGTGGGATGTTAGTTCTGATCACACCAGGGAGGCAAGAAATAAGTCTTTCTTTACCACATGTTGCATCCCTGGCAAGGATCTCCCTATTGTGCTTATAGTTTCTTAAAGTAAAAATGGGGATAAAACCACATGCTTTGTATCTGGCATAATGCGCAGTCTGTCCTGATCTATCTTTTTAAAGGGAAATTACAAGATGGCATGGCTGTAGTAATATGAATGGAAATGTAGCAAGGAAAAGGAGGAACAAATGGATAAGAAGACCAAGTTTCACATATCTTACTATGTTTCATGCACAAGCATGCTGGATTAATTTTGCTTTTACTCCACTATGCATACAACCTATAACATGGGGTGCCCATATCATACCCATGTGTGCTCAATTCATTCACAGTTTCTCCAAATAAAGAAGTGTATTTCTCTGAGCTTATTTATCTTATCATGTAGATTCATTGTTTTTGATGATTATATGATGGTGTATTTTTATTTTCTTCTGAAAGGTATCCTATAAGGAACATCTCTAAAAGGTGGGTTATACACATATAACTACTAAATAATAAGACTAAAATCCTCATTTTCTTCAACTTCAATCCTCAGTTTTTCCTGGTGCAGGAAAAACTGCTTGAAACTCTGGAGGCCACTGCCAGTCACTACTGGCCTGCCTAGATGAATCAGTGGCCTGGAATCATGGAAGCCATCTACCTGTGTTCCTATCCAAGACCCATATGAGTCTCAGTGAACTCAGTGGTTGTGTTCACATGTAACACTAAACGATCCCATGTGGTTTCTGCATAGCACTGTTTCTTACCTGGGTGAGACTGTCGGACCATCATGTGGTTTCCATGCTTGCATGGTTTCCACCCTCTTTCCTCATTACTGCAACTGGTGGCAGGTATTCCATCAGCCTCTGTGGCTAAAATTTAATTCCAGGGTGCACTGCTCCTGCCTACTTTGCCTACTTCCTCTTTACTGGTCCACATACAACATATGTATGTCGTACATCCTGGGCATGTCCTCAGCCATCCACATCCCTCCACCCATCACTTGAAACAGCTGACTCACTTTCGCCTCCCGCATGCTACTGCACGCCATGCCAACATATAAGCACACCCACCCACATCCACTTCTCTTCCCCACCTGTCCTTGAGGCAGGTCATCCAAGGCTTCCCTGTGCACAGGCCTTGAGCACTCTGCCATAGGCTGCCTCATGCACATGAAGGACATCAGCGTGCCAAGTATCCTGTCTTGAATGCTTGCATCCTGACTGATGCTTGATGCGTATCCTCCCGTTATCATGTCCAAGGTGCCTTCATCTTGATGTGTCATCCTAGTTCTTGACCCTAGGCTTAGTCCTGATCATGTCCTTGTTCTCCTCTGATGCATACTTCTGGTTCCTGACCTCCGCCTGTACCACAATTTTGATTTAGACCTGCCATTAAGCCTGGCTTTTGGACTGTCTTGCCTAAAGTTCTGTTGCCCTGGTCCTATTGTTCTTGTCTTGTCTCTGTCTCAAGCACCAGCTCTGATAGGGGACGTGGACTTTTCAGGGGGACTGCCCTGGTAACAATGCCCGATATAGAGCGCATGCGCCAGAAAACAAATAACAGTTCTGGAGCAGTGTCTGTGTGAACTACAGCAATGAAATAGGAGCACCACACCTGGCTGCTGCTGAGGTAGCTGCTGGAGGTGGTGTGGTGTGGTTCTCCATTGCCACCCACTTTCCAAAACTGTAGGTGGGCATTTGTAGGGCAATGATAAGGCAAAGGTGGGAGGAAGCATGGAGCAACCAGTCGAAGCACAGTTGGAGCCAACACATCAGTTGTTAGGCACAGCTAGATAGCAGGGATGCAGGTGGAAGTGTCTGTTCCAACACTAGCTGCTTTTTTCAGTGGACTCTATGCTGGGCACAGAGAAACCATTTTTTTTGGTTCAGGCAACTGAATAACCCATGGTGAAACATGGAAAAAACAATGTAACAAGCCATTGTTTCTCTCCATGGTTCCTCCACAACCACAACCAAGCATGCCAAATGGTAAGTTCCTGACAAGGTTCATACAGCATGGCAAGACCATACCACAGGGAAAACAACTGTGGCTTGCCATTATGTGTGAACACAATGAATGGTAAATTTGAACAGGCAGGTATACAATTGTGTTGTAAATAATCCTCCTCAATAACTTGTGAGATGAGAATTGGGTTTATCCAAATTGCTGGATATAATACCTTTACTAGAGATTTTGTAATAGGCAGAACTTCAGAAGCCAACTTGGGTAGAAGCATCCTGGGAAAGAAGTGAAAGGCCATGATGCGATGCTATTCCTCCCAGAACACAAAGCAGCCAATTATATTATAGCCCTATCAGGAATGATAGTCAGTGCAATGGGAAGTCTATGTTTCCTAAGGCAACCAGAAACTAGTTGAAACTAGCACTTCCAGAATGGAACAACCGATCAGAGTTCTGCGGATCTGTTTTCTTTGAGAAACACTAGTTTCAGCTAGTTTCTGGAAGTGTAACAAGTGTTAGCTAGCTTCCCATTGTGCGAGCTTTAATTCTCACTGATGGATAATGATGGAATGCTAGACTATCAGCATGGGTCCCTGCCAGTGATGTAGCTAGAAGGGCCAAAGTGCAGCGCCAGGCAGCCTGGTTGTGATGGTGCAAATGATCACAAGGAGAGTAGCAGCTATTGAAGGAAATTCCATTTTATTCTTTAGTCATGTACATGCTGTGACTTAAGTGTGTTCAACATGCAAAACCACACCATGCTCTGAGGTTTTGTTTGTTTTTTGAATCACAGTTGACAAATGCTTTTGTTTGCTGTGCTAATATATCATGAATGTAGCAACAAAGTGTGGAGGAAAGAAATATTATTTGTATGTGTCACAATTGAAGTAATATACATGGCCATTTAAAGGGGATCCCCAAAAGAGGACCATGAATCCCACAGTATAAAATTACCTTGCTGCTACAGTGGTCTCTTCTGTCAGGTAGTTAAAAGGAACACTTAATGGCTGATATATCCATCTATATTTCACCCCCCCCCTCCAAAGACACACACCAGATTTTCATTTGGTTTTATCTATTCCACCTTCTCTATACTTAAGTTCTGATGTAGTCAAACCTGTTGTGTGAATTGGGTGAGTAACTATTTTTTAGCAATGCAATGGGCATAACCTAGCCGATTAAATACTTTGGGTCTCACTAAGTAAAACAAGAGGGAGTGATTTTTCTTTTGAAATAAATGGAATGAAATAAAGTTAACTAGTCCATCTTGACTGTGGCCAGTTATGTCTAATATGTTCCTGAAACTTGCACATAACAAAATATAACTGCAAATTCTTGGAGGGAATGATTCTCTGACCCCTGCACACTGATTTGGGGAATAAATTAATTTTGATCCCCAGGTTAGAGAGAACACTCTGATAGTGCTCCCACTAGGAATCCAGGCTCCAACTGTTCCCTGCCTCCTCACAGCCAGCGTGAAAAGAACCATGCCAGCAGTTCTTTGAGGTTGCTTTTCCAAAAGGGGACATTTTGGAGAGTGAGAAGAGGAAGAGATGGGGCTGGGCAGGGGACAAGGTATCCTGACCATGCCCTGGCTTCCTTGCTTCCCCTTGTGAAACAGCACCTCTAGTCTATCTGGAGGAAATGTAGGGCACAAGGAAAGGAGAGGCAAAAATAGCCCCCTCCAGCTCTGCACTGAATGAGCATCAGTCTCTGAATCTGGGTGCCCCTGCTCTTCTCCACTGTGCTCTTAATTTGCTAAAGGCTTCCTTCCGATTCTCAAGTAGGAGGAGGAGGGCATAAAAAGCCATTTATTATTAAGTGGTAAAGCCCTGGATATTTAGCATGATCTGTTTATACTGAGCACTGGAAATCTTTAACAAATATGAACAGTGAAAATATTAATGATGCTCCATATGCAGTACTAAGGCCTGTTTCACTGATTTTATGGAAGATATGAAATGGACAGGAAAGTAATGTAGTTATACAACGTTGTCTTCTTCTAATTAATTCCCTGCTTTAAACCTGGCAGCAGCCGAAATGGGATGATGTATCCAAATTATAAAGTTTATTCTTCTTTCTAACATAAAAATGTCTCCACTAATTATAGCCAGGAAATCCAAGACACAGAAAGAAAGAAATGGGAAATAAGCTGTATGTCTAGATGCATTTTAATAATTAGATAAGATTAATGTGAATCTATATCTCAGAAGTGCCTGTGTAGAAACATGCATGGCAGCCAATTGATAAAGATCACTTCTCAACTATTTTAACCACCTCAACATGGGCTGTTTAGTTTTGGATGTATGTCCGGGTGAGCTGTAGAGTTAGACTCAAAAGAAGGAGGGGGAGAGGAATGGGGGGGGGGGATCCCAAGACACAGAGATGAGAAAAGCAGAGATGCTTATCTCAAGGTCAGGTGGGCAGGCAGCCTCTGGAAACCACCAAGATGTAGAGTTGGCAGGAGGGGACTCAGAGCAGGGGAGTTTCTCAGACACAGAAAAGATGCCCCCAGCTCTTGGACCCACAAGGCACACCCAGCAGAGGAGGAAAGGCCATTTAAAGGATCAGCGTGCAGTGAGTTGTTCCTGAAGGGATGGGGGCCAGGAATGCTTGTTAGGAGAGTCTCTGGAGGTGAATCCTAGATTGGGTTCATCAAAGCACTCTGTGCATGCTCAGATTCATTTTGGGTGTTTTGTGCTTTTGGTCAATAGGGAATGCTTAGCAAGGGAAAGATCTGTGACTCTGAATGTGCGAAGGATGAACCTCACCTCCCGACAGAAACCACAGAACAAAACAGTGTTTCTTATATGGTTTCTAAAAACCAAACGTTCCATGCTGAAATACCATAACGGAATTCAGACAATATGATGGACCATGCAGTGTGTCATTTCTCACAATTTTATTTTCAGGTCTAATAAATCCAGGCTTTTTACACTGGATTTCTTCCCCTACACTGCCCCCCTTTTTTTCAGATAATGCCTTTCAAAAAATACAAAGAAGCTTTATTCAAACAAATAAAGTTCCCAAAGTTCAGAACCCCCAGACCACAGGCCTAATCTGGTCTGCTGGGCTTCCTAATGTGGCCATGTGAGGAGGAAGGAGGCAACCAACCAACCAACCAGGGGAATCTGCTGCAGAGGAGATGCCAACAGTTGGCTCTGAGCTCAGATCAGAGTTAACAATGGTGATGTGAGCACTGGGGGATTCTGCAGGTACTAGGAAGAGAGGCTCCTCTTCCTGGTGCCAGCAGGGTAGTTCTGTGCAGCAGGCAGAGCTGTCAGGAGTGTTGGGGATCTTTGATATATCGTCCATTGCGTGAGGGGAAAAAAAAATCTCTCACACACACAGTGTGAGAAAAGAACACCTACAGTTTGCATACATGTGACATAAAATAGGGACAACCACAGCTATCTCCCCTGTGACTTTCAATTTCTTTTGGCCACTACTTCCTTGCAGCTTCTGTTCTTCCTTATAGGGTCCATTGCAGGGATCTGCTGTGCCATTACTCATTTTGGGACATGTTAAAGAGGGCACCTCTAGTCAAGATTCAAACATCAGGAATTGTCTTTTTGGCAAAGCAGAGAGCACTTTTAAGAGGGTCTGAGCAGTAGCCAGAACTCCATTGTCTCCCATATAGCCAGTTTTTATTTAGAAATAGTGCACTGGGTAATGTCTGATGCAACATGGTGGCCCTTGACATGTTTCAGTACTGGCACAAATAATGAATACAGATGTGTTGACAGACCGGGATCAGCACTGCTACATCAAACATAATAATTGGATGTAGCACAATCGTGTTGTCCTGCACTGGTCTGAAGCACAAGGTACAATGGATGGGCATTGGCCACTGGCTGTATACAAATGCGATGGCAATAATATGGCAGACATAGAACTATGTGCATGTTGCACTAAAACCCATGTTGCACTAAAACCCATGCATGTTTAGTGCATGTGCACTAAAACCCTTTCAGCCAGTAGAGACTGAACAATCCCCCACATGCAGGAATTACAGGGATCATAACAGGATGCACTTGTTTCCTGGTTAATAATGCCACTCTAGTTGTAAAGTGTCAACAATGGCTGGGCTACATAGCCTAATGCATTGATTTAGTATAGAGAAGATGCCTATATCCCAGGGTTTCTTCAAAAACAAGTGCTTTATTGTTCAGCTTTATGATTTTAGTTACATAAACCACCATCTTATATGTAACCTATGTTAACAATTTGCCAAAACAATAAGAATTTCAGTTGCCTACAGAAAAAGAAAGCCCGCCCTGAATCTACCCATTACCCTGCATTCTCTGAAACTAGCTCCCAGATTTTCCTTTTTTCCCAGAGTAACACAACTTGTGAGGCTCTAACACAGCCTTTTTCAAACAAGTTCATCTTAACAGTAGTCATCACAGGGTAATATCCAGCATTAATCTATGCAGAGTAGATGCAACAAAAGACTTAATCACAAAAAGAGTAATTCTTACTCATTTCAATGTGTCTAATCTGTGTAGGACTAACATTGAAGACCACTAATAGTTTCCAAAACCAGAAGCCAAATAAAGGTATAGGCACTTCTGGAGTCAGGGTGTGAAGGAGGTTTCTTTAACAGTGAATAGTTTAACAATGGAATGTTTTTCAATGGCTAGCAGTCATGATGACTATTTATCATCTCCAGTGGCAGGGAAAGAAAGCCTCTGTATCCCAATGTTTGGGGAACATGAGTGCATGTGCATTTATGTACCGTTTGTGGACTTCCCACAACAGCTGGTTGGGAACTGTGCAATTTAGTGCCTTAGACAGGACTCGGGTGATTCAGTATGGCTCTTCCTACATCCTTATTTCATGCCCAAGTTGTGCCCCTCTCAAATATGAAGATTTTAGAATACCACAGTATTTAGAATACCACAGTCCAAACCTATTTGCATAAAAATTAGTTGAGTTCTGTTCATACTGAGAAAGTAGTGATAATGACTATGGAGAAGGAGACTTACAGGAAAAAACACACATTTTGTTTCAATATATTCTTGAAAGCAATATGTGAATACTGTTCTGACAAATGCAACACTGCAAATTTCTGTCACAGCAAGCTTCTGGATAACAGTTTAGATTTGTCCAGGTAATCCACTTATTTTGACTGGCTGTGGCTTTCCGGGGTCTCCTGCAAAGGCATTCCCATGCCTGCTCCTTGCTTCCTGTAAGTGCAGATGTCAAGGACTGAACCTTGACCTTCTTTTTATGCAAGCGAAGAGCAGACTAAAAAAATAGTGAGCACATAATGAAATCAGAGTTGTACAGGACATTTCTGTGTAGAACTACTCAAAAATAATGCCCATGCAATTCAGCAGGGCTCACCCACAGGTACACAGATATAGAATTGTAGCCCCAAAACACCGAAGCCCAGTCTTAAAACATTTTTTAGCTGGTATAGTGACTCAAAGGACTGGACTCTTTAAACCTGTCTCTATTCCCTTCATTTGAGCACATGGTATTTCCAAACTTTTCTTGCCCACTGCCCCAAACTGACAATGTGATTTATAACATTGCACAGGATTAATTCACCTTTTAATGAGCTGCCATGAACTATAGATCATTTTCACCTACCTGCTTCAGTTTTCTGCTGCTTTTCAATCTTCTCCAGTCTCCCTAGCAAAGAGTCAATTTTTGTTTTGATTTGAGTTAATTCCTTCTTGATTGTTTGCAACTCATCTGATTTCACTGAGTGGAAAAAAGAACAGCAACAACAAAAAGGTACCAAGCATGAAACAAATCACTATTTTAATGCAGAGGAATTCCAGCACAAGCTCCTCAATGTACTCTACAAACGATAGTTAAAACTCTAGCCTGATATATCTGATTTCTTATTTTTTGCTAGGCAGAGGGGTATCACTAGTATACCCCGCAACACAGAGACTTTTTGTATTCATCTGTTCAAATACAATATAGGATTAGGACTTTGCAATGTGCACATAACATGTGTTTTGATGTTCAACATTTTTCATAGAAGTATAAAAATGTGAATAGCAAATTTCATTCAGTTTAGAAGAAACAAACTATATACATGTTAGCTCAATTCACACAACTAAAATACACATGGGTTTGTAATTTAGAATTATATATGTTATAAATAGGACTGTGCCAAAATGTTTGCCCATTTCAGTTTTGAGGTTTTGGGGAGATGGCTGAAACAACATCACCTTAGAGATCCACATTTTCATTTACATCTTCAAAATGAGTGATTCACTTATCTTTCCTAAAAACAATCATGTAGGATACTCTAAGCTTCAATAATGTCAGGTAGGGCAATTAGATTTAGTTTTGTGGTAACATTTCTGGACATAAACAATACCAATTCAGAGTGAAGACAATTTTTCCTATGTTGCTTACAAGGGCATTTTAGCAATTTGGGAATAATTCTTACATAGCCAAGCAGATTTACAATGCAAACCTATGGCCCTGTGAATGTGCTCCCCAGAAAGATTTGCCTGGTGCGAAGCCTATATTTTCAGCACCAGGTCAAAACCGTTTTATTCAAGTGTTATTTAAAAAAAAAGTATTTTAATGGTTTTAACAGTCATTTTTGATTTGATTTATTTTTATTGGTTATATATTGTTTTATTGTATTGTGGTATTGATTGTTTTACTGGATTCTGATTTTAATGTTTTAAGGTGTGCTGAGATGTTATATATAAAAGTTTTAAATAAATAAATAAATAAATAGTGGAGGCTGCTTCTTGGAGGTCCTGAGAGTGATTTCAGAGTGGGGCTTTAGGAGCCCTTCTGAGATGGGGCACTCCCAAGATAGGATGGTATCCTGGTAACACCCTAACCTCTAAAGCGCTACAGTTAAACTGCTTCACAGAGTGGGAGAAGTGCAGTGGAGACCTTTGCATCTACGCGCCTTCTATTCTGCACAGGATGCCTGTAATCCTCCAAATTTAGAGGGCTATGAGCAGTTTCACTGCACTGTGCCTTTAGTTAACATGCAGCCATTATTGGGGGGAAATGAAGTGGCCTCCAAGAATAATTGTCCTCTTTCTGCATGGTTGAATGCCAGAGATGGATAAATCTGACAATTCTGGTTTCTATTATTAACTTTGCCAGTCTTAAGTCTGGTTCATATCGTATTTGAGAATTTCTCCAGTCTTAAGTTTGACTTGCCCAAAACCTTGAGATTTGTTTAAGGTTTACATGAATATTAATAAGTATTTAATGCACATTCTCCTAATACACTATATATCCTCCATACAGTCCAGATTTTAATGCATTGTCCCAATATACACTCTTTTCCCAAATGATTTTCCTGATACAAAGTCTTTAAAAATTGTTTTCCCTGATATATCTCCATCATTATAAAATACCACTGCAAAGGATCACTGAGTTTCAATTCATACAGTGGTTCAAAGAACAAAAACAAGTAATGTGGGCTGAAAGAATTTCTCTCCTATCCCTAGCTAAGACAGCCTAATAAAATAGTATTTTAATAATATGCCAGAAGAAAAATCTGATACCCAAATAGTTTCTGATGGAAAAAGTTCATGAAAACTCCCCGACTCTACACAATCTGCTCAAGACTACAAAATGATTATCTAACTTCACATGATGAAATCTCCTTTTGGCAAATACTGTTCATGCTATATATTTTTATCTATCCCCATCTAATACCACATGAAGTTGTCTTATCTTCCAGTGTTACGTAGAAATAGCTAGCAATTATGAAAGTAAAATTCATTTTTGAAAACACATTGCTCTCAAATATTTTTTTCTGGACCCATGAAGAGAATAATGAGAAAATTCTTTAGTGTCTTCCCCTCTCTCTCTGAAATTTCACACAAACATCTGTCATCTTTTCCTACAGAAAGCCAAGTTTCCACACAACATCAATAAGCTATCTACATCTGCCACCTCCTTAAATAGAAAATAACAAGTACATTGCTACATGATTTATTTTAAATGACACTTCTGCACAATGGAAAATAGATACTTTTAAGCTGCTGGATTTCTTCAAAAACCACTGGTCAGTAATTAGGTTCAAAGCAAGATGGAAATCCCTCAAACCTGTTAAGAAAGCAAGATGGCAACATGTATATAATGCTCTATATAAAAACCCACCATTGTTTTTGTAGATACTCACAAACCCTTATACAGTCCAATCTCTACAATGTACAGTTTCTATCCTGCTCACAACTCTCAATCAGTGTAGCGATATTATGAAGGTTGTGACATGTTTAGGGACACCCATTGAAGTGATGATACAACAACAGTCTGAACCAAAGGCATTGTCTGGTTTTATGAAAGATGTACATTTGAACTGTTTTTGTTGCTACTAGTGTAAGATACATTTTCCTAAATGATGCATATTTACATTTCTAAAGATAACTGGGAGTGATAATAAAATGTTAGCTAACCTAGATTTTTTTGTGTTGATATAAACTTCAAAAAAGACCCATCTTCTCCTTTATTCATGTGGCACCCTACAGAGCTGCTATCTTGTTCTTCTGATAAATGCCCTGAAAAATTGTGTGTCGTCCTGTTCAAATTGCCAAAAATATGTCTCCTTTCTCTTAAGATCTGCCAGCTAAGAATGAAAAAGTAACCAATTCCATGAGGAAATCAAGCATGAAAGTCATTCTCTCTCACTCTTTTAAAACCTTTAACTTCCCCAGTGTATTTTCAGAATTTCTAGATGTGAAGCATATCTTTTTCTATAATTTAGTGAGGGTTCCTTCCTTCCTTTCTGGCTAATGTAATCAAAAAGCAACTACATAAACATAATTTTCAAACATAAATCACGGGAATAAAAGTTATGCCTCCAGGTACTTGGTGTCCAAGCAATGACTAAAGCCACAGTGTAACCAACTTGTCCCCCCTTTGCCATACTCTTATTTAAGGCATGTTCTTCTGCTTTAACTAGAATGGTATACAAATAGCCTTCCAGGATTCTCCATCCTATTTATGGTCAGAGGAAATGGGCAAACCATTTCATTAAATTTCTTCAGGGATGAGTTGCACCATTAGCAGCAGCAGTAGCACAGCCTCTTTTTAAACTAAAGTCCCCCCCCCCTTTTTTTTTTTTTTGCTATCGATGCAATTGATGGGAGCAACAATCTATCATTGCACATCCTTCATAACATCTTGGTCTTACTGTTAATTCAGGGGAACTGCATGTATGAGAGAGAGAGAGACAGAGAGAAAATGAAGCATCTCATTAATTTTCTCTGGAAAAAAAAATTCTAGGAAATGGCAGCACACCTCTAGTTTAAATGGCAGCAGAATTGGCTAATTTTCCTCTGAAAGCAGGGACTGCCGAGTGCTGGTCATAAACTTCAGTGTTTGATCTCACTGGATGCTGATATTATATTTGCCCTAGAATGCCTCATAATGTGGCACTGCCCCACTCCCCATATTACATTGTACTTGCTTTCCCATATTTGAAAAGGCACACAACATGTGCAGTGTTTTTACATTGCCTTTTAATGTTCCTCCTCAGGTTTTAAGAATGCTTTTTGATTTTTCAGCAATCACTGTGCAGGGAAATATCCTTGATTATTTAAGGAAGCTATCAGTGGTCATTCCACAAACAGTCCTTTTTTCATACCTGTTTGCATTTCTAACAACCAGTGTACTTCACATTAGGGAAAGGGGCAAAGACTCATACTTGATTGACCTAACTGGATGCAAGGAATGAGTATGGCAAGCAGAGGTGAGCACCAAGTAGTACATCTGCTTTCTGGAAATGTAATGAGTGACAATGTAAATTAGGGAAGAAGGAACACATTTTTAAGGATTGGGAAAACAGAAACAACAAGTGTGTAAGAGAATGTAATGATTCAGGCATCGCTGTGTCCCTTCTCCATGGACATCCCAATCAGTTTGGATGACTGAACAGAAGCAGGGAGAAGTCTGGCATCAGAGTGCACATGAAGTACCATAGCGAAGTTAGAGATCCAAAAGATAAAGAGGATCAGGGATGACAGGTTTCTTCAGGTCAGGTACAGCCCTTTTCCAGATGCATCTCACCTAGCTGGTGGCCCCTCATCCTCTAAAATTCCTAGCCTTCTTTCTGTTCTTTCAGTTCTACCCTCCCAACCATCTTTGCCAGCAAGAGCATGCTATGAAGAAGAGCAAAAGCCTTGGGATCCATGACATCTACAGTTAGAGAAATTATGGTAACATTGCATAGTGACATCAGTGATGAGAATTTCCTAGATGTGCTATCTTATAAAAATGTCTACCTCATGAAAACATGATGGGATTGTTTAAAAAATATTATGAAAGGGGAAACAAATACAGCACTTCTGATATTAAAGTTTTAACAATGCAATAGTATTTGAAGGTTCCATTCCAATAAGTAGGTGGATCCAAAAGACCGTGTACATGATGCTCTTCTCTTTACAATCATCCCATGCTGTTGGCATGGGCTAGGGAGCATCAGGTGCAGACCCCCATTAAACCCCATTAAGTAGTATGGGATTTGAGCAACTGTCAAGCTGCGGCTGACCCAACCTCAGAGGAGACTTCTTTGGAGAAGGTCTGCGGTTCCATGTCAAATCTTACTCCCAAAGAAAATTTGGGGTAGGGATGCTCTGTCTGAAGCCCTGTAGAGCATCTTTAAACCCATCCCAAGTCTGCTGAGCTTTCTACTGGGAAACTCAGCCAGAAGATCTTTTCATTCAGGATCTCTTCAAGAAAAGTTTGAAAAAGAGGGCAAAAATTACCCAGGTATAACTGCTGAGCCAAATTGACAGAAAGTATATAAGCCTTCAGTCTCCTCCAAGACTTTTGCTATGTTCTCAGCTAACATGGAGCCATTGCTCCAGCTCTTGACACAGAACAGCTAACAACTTACCCTAGCATTGTGGTGAAGATAAATGGCAATAACCCCAGGTGCAACAAGCTTAAGCTTTCTGAAGGAAGGGGAAATATGTTAACTAGAATCATATTTGTAAGATCTATGTGGATCTTTTGTGTCAACAGGGCCAACACTCTTTCTTACCACTACGGAACAGCCATCTTGCTTCTTACAGAAATTAATGGCACAGTAGTTTTTGAGGCCAATTAATTTTAAACTTAAAACTGTTTTGTACATCCACCTAATCAGGAGGTAAATGCAAAAAAGGAGCATTGTGAATGCATCTCTAATAGACAGCAAAAGCACTAAATTATACTGTTGGACAGTGAAAACTCCCCTCAGTATGATAACATTAATGTAGCTCCCTAAAGATTTTTCCATCTACTTTGGCAAACACATACATTTTAAGGGTCTAGCGATGGGGTGGCTAACACCTCCATTCCATTATGTGACCTCGATACATAGAGACAAGCTCAGAAGTGCAAAACTGAACTCACACTTTGATCCAGATGAAGAAGTTCCACTTGATGTAGATCTTGATCCTCCTTTCATGGAAAACACCCCCTTTCCCCTGCGAGTTGCTGTGACTGTCACCCGTGGGCGTTTCAATGGAATCACTGCACGGGGTGGTGCAGGGACACGGCTATGGTAATCAAACAACCTTAAGGAATGAAGCAGAAGTTTCATAGTATTTTATAGTGGTTTGATTTCAGGGAGATTTTGCAGACTAAAGTTCCCTGTGTCCTAAGAGAACATTTATTTATGAAATCAGTTACTTATATGACAGTTAAATTAGATTTCAAGGATTTTTGTACATTAAGGGACACATTTTAGACATGACCAAATGTGCAGTTGTAATTTCAAAGAGGAATACCATTATCAGGCTATCTTCATGTGTAATATGGAAAATATGTTCATATTAATGCAATGGGATGCAAGTAGCTCTATCATACATTTTTAAGGTAAGTAAGGTAATATCCTGCCTTTTTAAGGTAATATCCTGCCTTTTTCCTACAAAGGGCTCAAGACAGCTTGCATCATCTCTCCTCCTCCATTGTATCCCCACAACAACAACCCTTGAGGTAGGTTGGGCTGAGAGTCTGTGACTGGCCCAAAGTCACCCAGTTGGCTCCATGGCTGAGTGGGAACTAGAACCCAGATCCTCTGAGTCCCAGTCCTGTGCTCTTAACCACTACAGCACACTGCCTCTATGTGTGTATTATCCATACAATTTAGCAAGACCCTGCCTTTAAGATACTTTGATTCAACAAGAGGAAACAAGATTGAAAACACTGCGTTTAGTATACCTTGGAATAAGGAACTATCCTTTCCTAGCAGAAGTTCTCACCCTGATAGAGTCCTTTCAACTTCAAATATAGTTCTCTCAAATCACAGAGCAATTTAACTAATGTTCATTTCATGAATGTGATATCTGTTGCCATTTTCAGTAACTAAGGCTACATTTCTATGCACACTGAAGCCTTGTTCAAGTATTTGCTTTAAATGTGAGGGTTTAAAATGAGTTGCACAATTTGTTTACTTATTTATGAAATGTGTTTAAAGGCCACAATGGGGCCTGCAGGCTGATCCCACCCTCTATTTTTCCTGGCACATGCTGAACTGGCAAAGACTGGACTGGAGTTCTGTTCAGGTTGCTTAACTCTGCCTTATTTGGGTATGCAACTGGGGCCAGCTTGCATACTGCTTTAACCCTCATGCATTCAGGCAAAAGCCTAAAGTGCCTTGGAAAACTTGTTCCTGAATAAAATAATATGCAAGGATGGACAGTTTTGGGAGACGTCTAGGTCTGTTCCTAGCTTTCAACTACTAAAATCTGAAAAAGACTTCTTAATTCATCCTTGTATAGTAACTGCTTGACCAGATGTTTGGTTATCTTCCTATTTCCCAGCTGGTCATGTACATAGAATATGCAGCTTTTGGCTTTGCATTGCAAAAATGGAATACAGATTCACAGTCACACAATGGTAGATACCAAGGACACAATAGAAAATATTAGCATAAGCAACAGTGAACTGTTGTATCTAAAAACATCTGTATTCTAAGATAGCACATAGCAGAGAAAAGATTCTCAAGCATGAGCATTCAGGGTTACCTTAATAGTCCAGGAAACATGACTCTCACAAAGCAGCTTGAGAGTTCAAGAATGCCAGCCTAGTCACCTGAAAAGCTGTATCCTGTTCCTATATACTGACTTTAATAGCAGTAGTACAACTTAATTGTAGCAGTTGAGGCATTGTTCTATGAGTGAAGAGCAAGAGTGGCTTTGTTCATTGCTCAAGAAAGTCCTTCCCTTCCCAACCTGTACAAAATGGTGGGACTTGTTTGCACCAATACCTATGGCTCCTGTATGATCAGTTCAATTTAAAGCAACACAGATTCAGGCTGGACATCAGGAAAAGCTTCCTCACTGTCAGAGCAATACAACAGTGGAACCAGCTGCCAGGAGAGGTGGTGGGCTCTCCCACACTAGAGACATTCAGAAAGAAACTGGACAGCCATCTGAGTGGGATGGTGTAGCATGGTGTCCTGCAACTGCAGGGGGTTGGACTTGATGGCCTTCATGGAGCCTTCCAACTCTACTATTCTATAATTATGTGTACCTTTCAGAGATTCCGCTTTCTGTCTCTGCAGTGCCACAAAGTCAATGGTGATGTGCAGCATACTACTATGGAACAAATCAAGGGGACCTGAACATGGTTACTGCAACAGGTGAAGCCAAGCTACCTATTATCATATAATGCCCCCAAATGGAGACACAAATCCTGATGCTTTTGATCATAAATCAGAGTCACAGCCACAAAAAGCAATAGCAATGAATTAAATCCTTTGAGAAAAGCATTTCTGACCTGCTTATATATGGCATTATATTTCAGAAGTGTGATTTATGAACCCAAGGACAGAAATAAAAGCTACACTTACCGATTGTAGAAATCATCTCTGTAGTAATCATAATCAAAGACATAGCCACTGCGGAAAGGAGAGAGAAAAGTCAGATGAAAAAAGTGCTAAGCCACAATACCTGAAAAATAATTCCATGTAACTTATGGAAATTACAGTGCTAACTTAAATCCATGTCTTTTGAGCCTTTACTTCTATATTACCTTTATGCAATATTATTTTGAATAAATGCTGACAACTGAGTCTTTTAGATTATAGCCACTGATCCCCCGACCCATCCCCCCCTCAAAAGATTGCAATGCATAAAGGAACGACTGATTTAGATCTGATAAATAAAAAATAAAATAAAACACAGGTCTTTCAACCCCCATGTTGTTCATATGTGCAAATCAGTGCTGATCAGAAGTTATACCATTAGGCTAATAACTGGGTCCATTCATCCGGGCTCTAATCCTTATGTAACCATGAAGCTTAAGGAGATAACTTGAACTGATCATATTGTTTCTGCCTCATCTACCTCACTGGATATAAAATGGGAGAAACTGTGTACATAGCTCTGACCTCTTTAGAGGAAGTATAGGATAACAACAACATATTCAAAGAATCCAGGAGACATCCCTAGCTTCCTCTGGTGGCACCTTTTTTTTTTTTTTGGCTATATCAAGCACAGTTGCCCTATGCTACTTAGGGTGATTTCTAATCTCATTGTGTCAGTTTATCATCCTATATTGCAAAGCAAATAATATTAGGTGGTAGACAGCAGAATTCTGGACTACACCATTTTGAGCTACAGATTATGGCTACCTTTTTAAATGCTCCCTTGCGTGGAAAAAAACTCCTTTTATTCAGTAAACTAATACATTATTATACAGACTGGGAGGCACCTTTTCAGGGGTACTGGAAGATTGTAACAGCTCTTTGGTGTAGGGCTTGAATTATAGAGGAAGAGGTCGAACAACCCTGACTGAAACCTGTACACCCCACATACATACAGGTCACGCATCATGGCAGCCCCCTTAGCCATACCCCCATGCGCTAGAAGCTTTCATCTCCACCAGGAACAGTTCCTCTGCAAATTCACCACTTTTAATTGCCCATTCAAGGTCAAGCTTGACCTTGAAATATTATATTATTGAAAAAATTCATTATCTCCCCAGAAATTGTCAAAATTGTACCTAAGCTCCAAGAGAATTCTGGGTTTGCAAATGATGCCAGAACCCTAGTTATTTTTTTTTAATATGCTGGTGCATCTCAGAAGTCCTTGGGCACCACCTTCCCACAGCTCCTACCCTTCAGGCTTCCTTTGTCCCTTCCTGGTAGCCTTTTTAAAAGCAATACGAAAGGACTTCCTGGAAACCTCCTGAGATTCATGAGATCTTAGAGATTCCTGAGAAACTGCAGTGCGGAGCAGAGGCAAGAAATGTCTACCCTCCTAAATGTCCTTCCTCCAGCCCTAAGCTGGATGCAACCCCATGTTTTGAATTGCAGTGAGGAATATCTTCTGTGTAAATCTTGTAGCGAGAGGCAGAAAACAAACAAAAAGAAACAAAACAAAATATTGACATATTTTTTTGCGCAAAATGTTTGTGACTCTCCTCCTCTAAACAATTCCCCTTTATACTATCATGAAAGCAGAAAACAGGAAGAGAGTGAATGAACAAAATACATGAAGCTGACAATTGGAAACAATAAAATTCCAAATCATAATAGAAAGTGACTGTTCCATTTGTGCGGAACATGATGCATTATTCACTCAAGCCTGTGCCTATATGTAGTTTACAGTCTACATTCCCTGGTGTAATAACACAAGTCTGAATGATATTTTCTGAATGTGATACTGGGGGTGTCATGATGACAGCACTGAATCCCTTTAAAATACAAAACAAGCTGCATTGCTCAGATTACCAGCCAGTCAGAAGGTTTAATACAACTGTATTTGCACCTCACAGCCAGATGAATTGGTTTCTGGATTGCTTCGCCATATCTTTGCTGCTAAACAGCATGTGTGAGATAGCAGAATGTCATGGCAGACTACAGGTGCGGGAAATAACATTGTCCTGCAAGGAGAAAATGTGCAGAACGAGGGCCAAGCTGAGCTAGAAAAACCCTAGAATAAAGCTGTCCCCCACCCCCCACATGGGATAGCATGAAGGAAATGCCATTCCTCACTTGCACACACAAGTGATACTGTACTATTTATTCTGCCACTTTAAGACTCCAATTTTAACTCCTGCCTACTTGTTACATTCACCATGTGAAAAGTAGCTAGGTGTAAACCAAGCTCTGACTTCTGAAAGCCCTCCTATAGATAAGAAAGTTAGAAGAGCCTCTTTTCAGCTTCATTGCACAAAAACATACATGACAATAAATCTGGTCATCTTCGTAGTGCATAAAATTGCATTTTTTTCCTTTCAACTCTAACTATACTGGTTCTCTCTCTTTGCAGTTAATGTTCCTTTCTCTTCTCTTCCTGATTAGCTACTAAAGGAAATATAAGATACACACAGATAAATAAGAATGGGAAAAGTGGCTGATCACAATGAGGGGCTTGGTTAACATAGCCCTTATCTTATTACTTATCGTTATTTGACCAGGAGACCAGAATTTTAGTTTTTTGCCAGCACAGAAAAAAACAACAATACAAGGGACTTTAGTCTGAAAATAACAGAATTAAATCTTTTGGAAATTTACTTCAGAACTTACTAAAGCTCCACTGAACATTTTTGTTAGCTATGAAAGAAATTCAATATCATATGAGCAAATTTCAGTTTGCACAATTGACCTTGTCTCTCTCTAGTCCAAAACTGCCTTTGCAAGTCCTCACTCTCCTCTGGAGCAGATTTTGAAGGCATCTGGAGAAATGAAGAAGGAAGAATTGCACCTGTGTCCCAATTCAAGCCATTACATTGATGCATGCAGCTAAGTGGACCTAACCTTATATAAGCCATTCCATACCCTTCTCATTAAAGTCTTAAAGGACCTTCATGAGGAAACTTTTTCCCCTTCTCAACAAACAAAAAGTTACTGAACAATAATCTACAGTAATTATTATCCCTCCTAATTTATTTCATATTCTTTAGTCAGTGTGCATGATTAAGCACAAACATAAAGGACTCTGTGAGGATCAAAGACATGAAAGGTATTAATTTGTTTACAGGCTACACAGAGTTACTAACATTATTACTCTGCTACATTACAAAGATCTGCAATTAGCCCAGATTTAATTCTTAAGCATTTTATATTTCCTTATCAAGGAAGGAAATACCATTTTCTTACTCAACTGAAACCAGACCCACTTTGGTAAAACTTCTCATCTGGAGAAAAATATTTCATGGACTTCATCCACATGGAGCATATCAAGGACCACTGAGCCTGAACCCTGACCTTCAGGATCATGAGCTAGGATCTAACCTAGTGAGCTCCCACACACTATATATACAGGTTTCAGACCCTACTGCAGGTGCAGAAGGGGACATAGAAAAACAGCATTTACTTCTTGGAAGGGATCCAGCAAGTTTTGCTCCCCTGATGCCACCATGAGGCAAGCAACAAGATCAACCTCAAATATTCCATGATCCTAGGGTGCATCAGAGAATGTGACTAGGGATTTGAAGGAAGTGCACAATGTCATACACAAAATACCCACTTCTCAGAAGGCAACAGGATGAGGCAAAAAGAAAAGAAAGCTGCCAGAGCAAAGTACAAAGCAGAGAGGGATTCTGAGCTCCAGAATCATAAGACCACCCTTTTGAACTCACTTCTTCTTATGAAATGCAAATTGGTGTTGCATAGAGATAAGTGTGGAACCTGGTCTCCTCTGATATAAATGGTCAGGGACCCAAATACCTAATGTAGTACCTCTACCTATAACAATTTGCTCATACTTTAAGACCTTCTTCAGACACCACTTTATGTAACAAGGGAAATTATGGATTTCCCTTGGATTCTTGGTAATAGACTATCTTCCCTAAAAATGCTTGCTTGGCACCTACAGTGCAATACTTTTGGCTCCAGGAAAAATGCTTTGATTCTTTCAAGCAGCTGTAAATGTTTTACTGTTGAGGGGTTTCAATTGTTTCATTATTTTATCATTTCTGTGATTTAAATTGGTTATACACACTTGGAAATCCTAAACTGCTTCAGGGCAATATAAATATCTATGTGACTCTATTTCTAGGCCTGAGTGTAATGGGTTGCCAGACTTCTAAGTGCATGCTATGTCCAATGTATATTTGAGGTACCATTGTCCAACTGCACCTATGCATGATTAATTATATCATGCATTAGTAATAGGTGTGAAATTGTTTTCATGCAGTTTGGTGTGACAGGTGCAGAAAGGTTTAGTTGACATATACAGTAATAACTGATGAGCTCTTAGCACATTTTACTGAATGTCACCTTGAAGAATTACTGCTGCAACATCAGACCTGAAAGAGGAATCACTTTCTGAGTACAAAAAAGAACCCTAGAAATCTTCTGCATTCCCAAGAGAACTAGTAGCCTTGGGAGTCATGAATGGAATGCTCTGGAACAGTACAGTATGTTAAAATAAATGACAAAATAATTGTATCAGAATGTAGAAAAATGAAAACAAGTAATTTCCATAGCAAGAGGGGCTGGACCTTTGTCTGTGTGTAGTTAATTAAGAAATGTTCAGAATCATCTACATTAACTCAAAATACTGATCCTACATAATACAATATAGCCCTTTGATGCTGATACACAGAATAGGGCAGGATGAATCTGTCAAGGTTAATTTCACCTAGACTCTCACTTTTCCCCTACAAAGTTCATTTCATCGTGTTTCCACATCAGAATGTGACATTTTTGATGTAGCATGAACATTTATATGCATTTTTATCCATCTTTTTGAAAACATATATATTTTTGGCACAGTGTACTTTTTTTTTCAAACTGTAGGGCAAGTTTCAGAAAACAATGTTTCCACTGTTCCTGGAAACAAATCAAAGCAGCTAACTATAAATAGTTAAAAAAAAATCACAACTCGCAAAAAGAATAGCAATCATAACTCTCTAAAAGAATAACAATTACCGAAAAAAGCAGCAACA